TATTTCAATTTTGAATAAAATTATATAATTTTTCGAAATTAACTTTTTGCATCTAAGATTTTTTTGTATTCGATATTCTGAATATTTAGATCGTAAAATTGTCTTATTGTTATTAAATTCTTATGTAACTGTAAAATAGGTGATGTTTGAAAAAAATATGATATCGAAGAAATAATAACGAAGGAAATGTGATTCATGGAGGAACACTTCGCATGCTTTCACATAAAAGAACACATTCGAGTGCGTGCCGCTATTTGACGAGATTGTAACGCGTGCATGAAACCAGGAGGGCGTTTATATTCTTGTAAATTAGAGATAGTGAGCACGCTTCACTGCATTCGCGTGGGCGAATTTTACTAAAGGTCGCAGATCACATGCATTTATTTCTTTTTCTTATTAATCATGTGTCTTCATTGGTGGTGTAACCAGAAGCATAATCGGTATTATGTAATCCACCTTGCCTTCTTTTTATGTAAATCGCTTTTTGTAATGCTATGCGTATCGGTACGCGTCTTCTTAAACGACGTCTGGATGACAATCTTTGCAATACGTACTCTCAGGTAGATTCTGTTTACAAAAATAATCTTATTTTTAAACAACAAGATATTTTTGATAATAAAGTAAAATTATCCATCAATAATTTAATTATTTCCACATTCTTTTCATCACTCACTTTTACACGATAAGTGATTATATTGTTATAATTACCGCTTGGCAAAGTTTATCTTGTATTCGATCTACATGCACAATAAATGTAATTTATAATTGTTTATGTAAAAAAATTGGTTCCCATTTTTAACGCAGTTCAACAATATAAAAACTAATAAAATTATAAATAAATATAATAAAATATAATTTTTATATTTAGAGAGAAATGTATTATATTTTGTAACAATTGGCATCTCAAAAAGTGATCAAAGTAACTGCGCATCGCTTTGTTTTTGAACTTTAATTGTTACTCGCATATTTGCTTCTAATGCGCTTCCCGTTATTTATTACATTGACTTTGATATCGCTGTAACCTTTTCACACTGAATACGATCGGAACATAAGCAACCAGAACGTATGCAATCTGAAGTTATTATAAATATAATTTTAGCACGAACAGTCAGCTTTGGCTCTTAAGTCTTGATCTATAATTCAAATTGTTTAAATTGAGTCTTAATTTTCTAATTCACAAATATATTTCTTTTTTATAAATACAATATCGATAAAGAGAATCTGTGTTCTTTTTAAGAAAAGAAAAACATTAATATCTGAACTTAGATGTCACGGTTATTTAACGCTTGTTCTATTTGCACGTTCTCACATCTGTTTGTTTGCAAATGCAAAGAATTGTTGCTGCTACTGAACTAACGGTGAAAGCGATTTTGCGAACGGAACATGTATGACGTGGAAAAACGCATGCGTTACCATTTATTAAGAATGCGTTTGTATTATTGATGCCGGCATTGTAATATCACAAAGAAAAGAGAGAGAGAAAGAAAATGATTTGGCATTATCATGGAAGTTAACGAGAATTGGTTTGTACAAACTATCATAATGTCGGTTAAGCAATTTAATAGCAAGTTTTTAAAGACTCTTTATCCAAAAATGATAGAAAATATAATATTTTGGCAGAAATATTAATTATGGAATTTATTATAAAAAATAAATTCAAATAAAATAAGAAAGTAGTAAATAACAAAAAAAATTATTTAAAATAAAGCAAAAAGAAGATGGACACCTTCACACATTTAATATTACATTTAATTGCAAGTTTTATATTAAACATGGAATATATATATTTATTATCAACATTCCATGTTAAGAATATATATTGTATATGTACATATTTAATTTTCTATCTATATTTAATTATAGTAATAGTAGGAATCAATTTAAATTCTATAAAGCTATCAGCACCGTGATAATATAAAATAAATTTGCATTTGCATGACTTAAGAGGATGCTGAAGTCATATTGTTACCGACCGAAACTTCAATTTTCTAAAAAGGGTGGCGTTTTTTATTGCTTTAATAGAATTACAAATCCTTTGGTGTAAATAAAGTACATATGCTAATCTTTCGGCAGTTGGTCAAATTTAAACCAAAAAATAAAAAAAATTTTTGAAAATTTACCGACAATGTCACCTCAAAGAATTATATCTTTTATATCAAAATTATACTGCTTCAATCTGCAAAACAAGACCATGTGCCGAAGAAGAGCGTATGAAACAATAATGGAAAACCAAAAAAATAGAGCTTAGAGACTTATTTTCAAAACGCCACCCTTTTCCAGATTTATGTAAAGCATGTGTGCAATATAGAAAGAATAAGGTAAAAAAGAGCTATAGATTAGTTCCGAGATTTTGGGATAGAGGCGCTATACAGTTCTCAGTGCTATCTGTCATATACAGAATCTTTTAGGTTAGTTATGTGTGTGTTAGTTGTGCGTGTGTGTGTGTTTGTGTTATGTGCTACGAAACCCGGCTGAAAAAAATGGGTTGAAGGCACTCTGAAGGATAAAA